TTATATTTTATATTTTATATTTTATATTTTATATTTTATATTTTATATTTTATAATTTATATTTTATATTTTATAATTCATAATTTATAATTTGTATTTTATATTTTATATCTTATATTTTATGTTTTATATTTGCTATTTCATATTGCACATATTATATATATTTTTTTAAGTTATCCCACACTCCACATTCACACATTCCATTTTCCTTATTTCACATTTCAAATCGTTTTAGGCTCACGCACGCATATACTCTGTTTGGCTTGATGTACGATGCAACTTAGCTGCACCGCTTTGCCAATTAGCCGACATTGATGTGGCCTTTTAGTGAGTCGTTCTAGCTGCAGCTAAAAGCCAGGCTTGCGGACTGCTTGCTTTATTGCATTCAAAATACAACAGTGCGCTAAAAAACTCAATTATTATTGTTGTCATAGCTGCCTGATATTGTCATCGCTATTGCTAATGCTATTGCCACTGTCATTGTCATTTTCATTGTCATTGTTGTTGTTGCTGCTGCTGTTACTATGGCTGTGGCTGTGGCTGTGGCTGCGGCTGCGGCTGCGGCTGCGGCTTTGATGGCAATATAATGCATTATGTTGGTGCCAATAGAGTTTTAGCTGATTTGACCCGCGACCCGCGACCTCCGCAGCTGCTTGTGCCGCAGTCTTGGTTGGTTTTTATGGTGCTGCCGTTGCTGCCACACTTTGCCGCATGCTGCTTCGCTGACAATTTGCAATTGCGGCAGCTCCTAGGCACTAATATTATTAACTCTTTCCATTGCTGTGGTCGCTGTGTGTCTGTGCGTGTGTGTAAGTGTGCGTGTGCGTGTACGTGTGCGTGTATGTGTGTGTTAAAAGCATCAAGCAAACTTGCATAAACAAGCTTAAATGCATTTCTACATACATTTAGTAGCAGCGTAATCTCAACTAATCAATTCTCTGATTAACAAATGAATTTATATATCGATATATCTTTAAGTATATAGAGATATGTACCAAATATATGATACATTTAGATCTTGTTCTATGTTTTCTTCTTCTATTCTATTAAGTTAAATATTGTATATGCTCTCTCACGATCATTAAGTTTTTCACGATCATTCGATCAATCCAACTGAAATTTCAAGATCTTTCCGTTTTACACATTTCCTAGTCTTTCATTTTGTAGTAATATCAGGCTTATCCTCATTTGTTTGTCATTTCTGTCTATCTCCTTTGGGAATATCCTCCTCAAAGTCTTCCTAATTTATTCTGCTTGTTATATTACTTTATGTAAGAATTTCTATACTTTTAACATGCTCATATAGTTCATGCTCTCTCCTACCTATTTCCCTATGATAGATAACTCTCTCTCGTGTCTGTGAAACTCATGCATTCCACATCAGTTGCACATTTTAATGCAATATACGATAGCTGCTGAAAATATCTCTGAAATATCCCTAGTCGGGAATAAAATACCCGATTCAACAGCTTTGCTCGCTCTCTAGCTTTAGTCAACTAAACTTGGTTCGATTAATGGGTGCAACAGAATATTTTTTTTAGGCTGTTAGCGCAGTTTAAGGTGGTTAGCTATGCAGTCGAATATATCTAAATGGGCATATCTAAATAATATTAGTTAACATTCCATTGGCCCAGCATTCGGTTGAGCAGGCACAAAAGATATTGATGTATACATATATGCAATTAGTTTTGATTGGGGGTTATACATATTGGGGAGAGTTAGCTCTGCAGCTCTATAGCCGACCGATATTCGATTACTTACCCAGTACGCTCAGGTATGCCTCGCCCTTGACGCTGCCTGCCTCGTTGGCCCGCACACAGATGTAGAGGCCCGCATCGGCGGCGCGTATGCTTGAGATGAGTAAATCGCCAGATTCGAGTATTTGGAAACGGCTCGATAGCTCGACCAATTGAGTTTCTAATGTTGTTAAAATTAACGAGCAGGGAAGGAGTCCGACGGTAAAGCAAGCGGGTTGCAGTTGCAGTTGCAGTTGTGGCACAGTTGCAGCAGTTTACAGTTAGCAGTTTAGTCAGTTGGGTTAGCATACAAAAATAATAAAATATGTAGAGAAAAAAAAAAAAACAACGAAATACACGAATAAACATCGAGATTAGATTAGCATTTCGACTACAATTCAAACGTGCATTCACATGGATTCATGGATTGATAGTCAAATATTCATGTGCTGCTCCTCACTCACCATTGTAGATCCAGGTGATGTTGGGATTTGGGGCGCCGACGGCCCGACAGGATATGGTTGCGTCCTTGCCATCCAGTGCGGTTACGTTCTGCGGCGGCTGCTCCATTATTGGGGCGGTGGCTGTGAATGGATGATGTGGATCGAATGTTTAGTATTCTGGCAAACTAAGACGCAAATCATGCATCAAGGTGTGGATAATTTCGTGGTGGCTGTGCGTGTGTGAGTGTGGCAATGGCAAATACGTGGCTAAGCATGCATGCATACTCAAGTCTGTGTGTGTGTGCGTAGGTGTTGGTGTGTCCGAGTGTGTGTGTGTGTGCGTGTGTGTGCCAATATTTGTTTATTGTGCGCTATACGCGCCCACAAACAATACTTCAATATTGACATACACAAAGTAGCCAAGGATAATATCAATATTAATGCAACCATCTGGCAACGCCATAATCTCATTGCCTACTTAGGTAAATACACAAAATTTCACAATTCACAATAATAATAAGTCACTTATGGGTATGTGCCTTCCGGAATTGTGGAATGACACACTTAATAGCTGTTTCAATTCCCATACGTTACATTTGGTTGTTAGCTTAGGTTTTCCGACTCGAATTTATAATGTCTATATATACATACATACATGTCTGGCTGTACAAATAGATATTATGGTAATTACTTTCGATTCATGTCTACAATTTAGCTATAATTTCGGGCGCACTATTTGATTGGAACAAATACTGAACATTATTTACGTGCAATTATAATTAATTACTTTTCTACATGCAATCTTGAAATGGAACACAATATTTATTAAATAATATATACATATGTTTATTGAACAATATAAGAGATATACAAATTACTAAAATTCTTAGTGGAATGTCGGATTGGTTCATGTTATTCTATATTAAATACCCATAACAAATCTAAACATATTCTGCAACTATTATTTGTTCTATTTTGTAGCGGAATGTTGGAATGGAACATGTTATTTCCATGGCTGCATAAAAATCTAAAAAAATTTCTGCGCCACTTAACTAGAATTATTCATACGTTGTAGTGGAATGTTGGAATGGAACATTAACTACACAAAACATTTGGAATGAAACATAATGCTTCTTTTTCACACGCCTGCAATTACAATTAGTGGAATGTTGGAATGAAACACAACAAGCTTGACATGCAACAGCACACGTGCAAAATGAATTAAGTTTACAAAAATGGAATTTTTGGAATGAAACAGAATATGCACACAAACATGCCGCAAATATGATTGCAATTACAAATTGTTGTACCCAAATACATCTTTCACTTCACGCAAGGTCAATTTATTTTATTTGTTGCTACTGCCACGCCTACTACGCTCACGTCCACGCCCACGCCCACGCCAATGCCAACGCCCTTGTCCACAATAACATTAAAAACTCCAGCAGTGGCAGCGGCAGCAGCTCTCAATTATTTATTGAGTCGCATACTTGGCAAATGTTTTCTCTCCATTTTATTTTTGTTTCGTTTTCATTTTCATTTTAATTTTCATGTTCATTTTTCATTGTTGCCATTTACTTTTTTTGTTTTCTTTTTGCATATATATATTTTGTAAAAATGGCGATTGTCAGGCTGCGAGCAACTGTTGCTGTTGTTGCTGTTGTTGCTGTTGTCGTCACTTACGCAATTCGAATCGCAGCAGAAGTAATAATGTAATTATTTCATATGATGCATTCATTTTAACTCCGCTTATGTAAATAAGTGCATAAAATTACAATAAAACCTTTTTTGCATGCTTTTTCCTTTTTCAATTTTACATTAAGATATTAAGTGCTCCACGACTGTGTGAGTATGTGTGTAGGTGTGTGTGTGTGTGTGTGTGTGTGCAAGGTATATTGTATGGCTTGCAGCGCAACTGTAGACAACTGCACAGGGCAACAAAAAAGACAATAAAGTGTGCTCTAGTCGGCAGTATCCGACTAGCAGATACCCTGAATTTTAGGAATAGCCATTCTGGTCATCTATTCTAAATGCATACACAGGCATATGTATATACATGTGCTGGGACATAGACGTAGTTGGATTTTACTATGGGAACTGAATTGATGAATAGGTTTTCATCTGGTTTACAATCATGTGGTTAAAGCATGACAATATTTAATACTCCAGGTCCAGGTGTAAGCAACACCGAAATCTACAAACTCAATTCAAAACCTCTAGCATTAGTGGTGAAGAGAGCTAAACGAATTATCGATATATATCGATAGTACAAAAAAACGCATAGATCTATTCACATCAAATGATAAAATTAAGGTAATGATTCTACGTATCGAATGCCCAAAAAATCAACTGAATATCTTCAGCTTTTGTAGTTTGACCAACTGATAATACAATCGATAAATATCGATTGCAAAATTTTCAATAAACAAAAATAAACAATTTATATATGTACAGATATATAAATAGTTGGTTAGGTCGACTCAGCACATCATCCTAATTAATCATTCTAGTCCGCCACGCCTTCTTGCGTTCTGTTACATACCTATGCAGAAAGCCAATAAACCTCGATTTTCTCAATGCTCAATGGGTTCCGGGCTTGAAAAGAAATCGTTAAATAATAAAGACGAGGAGAGGGGAGGGAGCTGCAGCGCACTGATAATGGTAGCAAATATTTATGATAAATATTTTAAGCACAAAAATGAAATTCATTCGCTTCAAAATATACACACATACATAGGTAAACATCGAACAACGTCATCGATAAATGCAGAATCCGATTTTATGCAAAACTGAAATCAGGAGCAAAAACTGCAACTCTATCCAGGTGAGCAAAAACAATAAAAAGAGTGAAAAAGAAGCAGCAAAGCCAACGCAAATTGAGTGGGTTTCAAAAGTTAAGCGTGAAGCTCGCTCTTTAAGTGGCCATTGAATAGCCGACAAGTTAATTAGCTTTAAGTGCTGCTTCTTCTTGCCGCCCACCCGCCCCAAGACTTTGACCAATTTAATAATTAAGACCAACGAAGACATTACGCACTCTGTGTGAACGAGCGCGTCGCGTGAGTCGAGTGGGCCTATGCATCGCGCTGGCCACATTCCTCGATTTTTATTGAGTAATTACAACAATTATGCCAGAGCATGAATAAATAAAAGAAGCAGCATAAGCCATTGAAGCAGTGGAATAAGTATAATTAACCGAACGACAGCTGAGGGAATTTACAATATCCCATTGAAATTTTTCACTTTATGCATAATTTAGTTGCCTCAACTCGCGTTTCATTGAGATTTGTTCGCAGTCAAGCGAACTTTGATTATTTTCACATTTAATTGTAGGGCGAGGACTGTTTGAAAAGTATTCCGAAATTATAATACTTAAAAAATTTTTTATTTTATTTTTTTATTTATTTCCTTATTTTTTTCTATTCATTGTTGGATCTATAAGCATCAAATTTGAAATATCATCTGAATTGAACCCTTTCATAAAAATCATCATTCGATTTTATAGAACACGTTGTCTATATAAATATCTAAATACCAATATATTTATATATTTTTCTGTGATCTTGATCTTGCTTTGATTCCAACTTTATATTCTCTATCCTTATCTTATCTTTTCATAGACCTTTTCCGTTGTAGGCACAAGTTTCCCAGGTTTGGGCCTCATTTATGTCTTCTTTTCGGCCCAAAATTTTATATCAATTATTTGTTTCATATATGTTTGATTGAAAAAAAAAAAAAATTAAAAATATCAGCTGATCAATTTCGGCACATTTTCAGCCTAGATATAACCCTAAACGAAAATATCAAATTGAATATGATAAGCCCAAAGAGATTAAATATTTGACATACTTTCTAAACAGACCTCGTGTGCATTTATACGTAAGTAGCCTGATTTTTGACCAATCTCAAGATTTGCCCAATCTCAAATGATTGTACAGAGCTCGACTGATGGGCGAAGCCCTCATTTGCCAACAGGTTTTCGTAATTTATTGAGCGCCATTCTGACGAATGGCCCAAGAACACGGTAATGTTGGCCAGACATGTTAATAATGTATATATATTATAATATATATATTTACATTATATTTTTTTTATTCAGTTCAAGTAAGTCTCAGCTGAAAATCGTTAGAGCTAATCGTGGGAACGAGCCCCACACATTTATTGATCCAAGCAATTCGTAGCGATTGCCTTAAAGTGTAATACGGGCTGTACGGTTATTCATTACGGCGGATGGAGGTCACGTTAACGTGTTAAAAGTGCTTAAGCGGCTGCATGTCAAAGGGCATTGCCCCAAACCCAAGGAAAACCACTTGCCCGCCTGCCCATCTGCCTGCCGCCTCACGCCTCCCGCCTTCCGCCTCCTGCCAGCTCCCCTTTAGCGCCCCTAGCTTGTTGCGGCTGTGCACGCAAAGGGCATATTAAAGAAACGTGTCCAATAAAACGAAAGAGGCAACATTTTCGTTTTTATTTCTTTTCCTTTTGAATATTTATACTCGTTGACTAAGCAAACAAGAGTATATTAGCTTCCGTTTATTTGCATTGCAATGTCTCGTCTGGCCCTGTGTTTGCTGTTGTGGCTAGCCGACTTGCAATCCCGAATAGATTTTTGCATGCTTTATCTAATTGGCTGAGTTACTGAATAGAGTGAATAGAGAATCTCAGCCGTAATCTCTCTTGACCTACCGTCTCAGCTGGCCGCAGGGAATGCAATCGAGTTAGAACGAGTATTGAGCAGTCGTTGACACCTGGACAGCAATTAGGCGAGAGCGAAAGGAGCATCCGATGCTAGTTTTAATCCAGTTGTTGCATTTGTTGCATCAACGACATATTGATCTGCATAGCGAACAATGGCGTGGCACGATTTATGCCACGTGCAGCGTGCCGCAACTTAAGCCGTGCTTGCCATTGTTGTTGTTGTTGTTGTTGTTGTTGCATGGCATTCGTAATTAATATCAAGTTGACCCACTAAAGCGACCGCCTCAAGTTAAAGCCGTTATAATAAAGCCCTCGCCAGGAATGACGTGCACCGGCGATAAGTGCCAGCGCCCGCCCGTAAAGTGCTTGCCCCAAGCGCTCCGGGCCACTGCTGGCTGGGTGGTGGCTGGGTGGTGCTAGCTGATGCCTGTTGGCTGTTGGCTCTTGGCTGATGGTTTGTTTGGCAGCGATGGTGGTGGCGAT